ATGCAATTAAATCACTCATGTCTGAAAATGTAGCTTTCCATGTAACGTGTGTGTGCTTGTTTATAATGATTTAGGGCTGGATTTCACTGGGCTTTGGTTTAGATCTTTAATGAATACTCCCATTTAATATACTATACATATATGTTTAAATTTCCAATTTAACAAACAAACACTGAAGCCAGAAAATATTTCATTCTCTGTCAACTTTATTTGTAAACACTTTATTTTGTTCTTATTATGATGCTGCAGGAGCTGTGTCTATCTATTGTGACAGCTTTTATTTACTTTCCTATCAGTGCTGTAACCCAGCAACAGCACTGGGAACACAGAAATGGAAAATAAGATAGACCAAAGGGCAACAATACCTGACTCATGCATTCACAAGAAATCAATCTTATGAAATAGAACCACCACATTTTAATAGATTTTCTCTTTGAAAGAGGTGAAGAGGAAGATGTTAGCCTTTATACCATTCAGAAATATGCACATTCCTGAGAATCAAGGCTTGCACTAATGAATTGCTGAGATAGTGTCTTTGTATACATTCACAGAATCTAGTAACTAGCTGCTTTAGTGTCTCTCCCAGCACTAAGCGATGTTCTGGTAGCAGTAATGGTCAGGAGTGTGTTTTTCTAAGTTTGGCAATGAGATTGGGACCTTTCTTTTTGGATGTAGAACGGATGTTGTAAATACTGATGTTTTTTGTGATCTCTAGGCTGTACTACTGCAGTAAGCTTTACAAGAACCTACAGTCTCTTTGAAAACCAGCAGAAAGTTTCCAGTAGTTCAAAAAGCAATTGCTCACTTAATTGATTTGTAGAAAAATGGCCCCTGGAACTGAAAAAGTTTGTAAACAGTTGTCTTTTCTAATTTTTTTTTGTTATGCAAAATTTGTTATATTTTAATTGAAATTTGTATTGAAGATATTATCAGCATTGTTTACCATTACCTGTTTTTGGGAAACAAAAACATTAGTCAGTGTTTCCAATAATGTTCATGAAAAAATAAACCATGTGGGTCTATTTTGAACCTTGCAAAATGAAAACAACTTGAAAGTTTCAATTTTTTTCGTGAACTTTATTTTTAAATTTCAACCAGCTGAGATTGCAAATATATTCAAAATAGGCTTCCAGTTTGTGTCTGCTTGTAATATGAAGTATTGACTGTGCTCTGTGAAGCAATGTGTGAATTTACATATCATCCTAACAGTTGAGAACTGCTGATGCAGTTGCTATAGCTGGACTAGATTTGGGAGAGGAGGGCCTGAGCTCTGGAACTGGTCTTATAAAGCTTGTTTGCTGACCTTTCAAGTGGGTTGTAAGACATCTTTTTATTCCAAGTTTTGGCTTGACAGTAAATGATTGAGTGTATCAGTTTGTATTTCTGCTTGGGGAGGAGTTTTCTTTTGATGATATTAAGGTCTTAATTTGTAATTGATGTTAGTGTTTTAATGTTATAAGTTTTCAGAGGCTTGGGATGGGTATTTTATAGAGTTACCATCCGTCTGTATTTCCCCAGACATGTCCGGCTTTTGCGTCTCTAAAATAGCCGTCCGGGAGGAATTGGTAACAAGGTTAAAATGTCCGGGGGTTTTTTCTCCCTCGCCTCCCTCCCTCCCTTCCATGCAGAGTGCGGCTGCTGATTGGGCGGCTGGGCCGATTGACCCGCTCCCATTGGCCTCCAGCAGCCAGAGCCCTCCCCTGCTCCCCCCTCCCTCTGTCTGCAGCCCTGTGTAACACACAAACCGACCCACCGGGCAGCGTGTTTTGCAAACACGTGGAGCCAGAATGGTAAGGGGAGTCCGGGAGGGGGCAGTCAGGGAGCGGGGGAGTGTTGGATGGGTCCCCGGCCTCCACCTGCCACCCCCCCTCCGCACACACACCCCATGGGCCCCCTCCTCCCTGCCTGCCTCTCCCTTGTCTGCTTGTACTGCCAGAGCCAGCAGCAACTGCTGTCTGCTGCCCCTGGGTCCTAGTGCCCCCATCCAATAATGGGAAGACAGGCTGCCCTTACCCTGCCCTTCCACCCTAGCCCTGAGCCTCTCCAACGCCCCAACCCCCTCAGCCCCAGCCCTCAACCCCCCACACCCTAATCCTCTGCTCCATCCCTGAGCCCCCTCCTGCATCATGAACCCCTCATCCTCAGACCCACAGCCCTCACCCCTGCATCCCCTCCTATCCCCAAACCCCCTCCCCCTTCCCACACACTCCCTCCTGCCCTCAAACTCCCTCCCAAAGCTTGCACCCCCTCCCTTTGCACCGCCTCCCACCCCCAAACTCCATCCCAGAGCCTGCACCCCTCACCCCCTCCTGCACACCCACCCCCAGCCCAGAGCCTGCACCCAGCACCCAAACTCTATCCCAGAACCTGCACCCCTCCTGCACCCTAATCCCCAGCCCAGGACCTGCACCCCAGACCTCCTCCCCCCACCCAACCCCCCTCCCAGAGCCTTAGGCAGGTGGTGGGGTGGGTTCTGGGCACCACCAAAATTTCTACAACCCTGTCACCCATGCGAGTGGTTAAGGGTCGGGGCAGTCAGGGGACAGGTAGGGTCCTAGGGGGGGCAGTTAGGGTGGGGGGTTCTCAGCAGGGGGCAGTCAGGGGACAAGAAGCAGGGGGGGTTGGGTTTCTGAGGGGGGCAGTCAGGGGGTGGGAAGTGGGAGGGAGTGGATGGGGGTAGGGCTAGGGCGGGGCTCCCCCCCCCCGTGTCCTCTTTTTTGATTGTGGAAATATGGTAACCCTAGTATTTTATAAGTGTAAATAGCTTTATGAAAGTAATGGGATTTAAATAAACCATTCTTTATTTCCTACTCCTTTGCATTCCCTTCCCTCACATTCAAAAATAATAATTTTAAGATGTATTTTCAAATATTCCCATGCTTCACCAGTTTTGGGGGTATACACAAGAGACTGTTTGATGACTTACCACCCTTTATCACAACTTACTCTGAAATAACTGTGAGAATTTACAAAATGGTTTATGGTCATACAAAGTATTGTGAGCTCTCATTAGTGACCACCATGGGTGTTGACTTGATTTCAATATAAAATCAAGCAAAACCACTGGGGTTTAGACTTTCGAATGCTTCCCTTTTATATATGTCATGAGTTATCTATAAAAAAATTCAGATGCCATTATCCAGTTAACCTCACAGTTTCATCCTATTCTGTTTTAGAGTCACCATTGTTCTAAGAAATATAAAACTTGGCTCCAGGTCCTGAGAGATATGTAGGTGACTAACTCCCACAGAAATCAGTGGGAGTTAAGCACCTAGAGACCTTGAGAATCTGGATTTTACTGTCATGTATAGTAGTGGAACGCTAATAACCCAAGATTATATACTACAGATAAAACTATGGGCCGGCAATGAATGGACTACTTAGAAATCCTGGAGCTCACCGAAGGCTAATGACATTATTCCACTTCTGCTTTAAATGAGTTCTGAAGAGCAACCACGCATCAGTGTAAAATCAGTTTGAATGCATCTTCTTTGAAACTCAGCTCCACAAATAAAATACAGTCCATCTATGCAGTGTTCTTGCTTAAAAGAAAATTTAAAAAAAAAAAAAAAAAAAAAAAAAAAAAAAAAAAGACATGCTTTGCAGCCATAAACTGAATATATTTAAAAACTGATCGCTTTCGAGACTGAGAGGATTCTATTTCAATTTAAATGTCAGGCTCCATCAATGGATACAACTAGTCTTAGCTGGAGAAAGATCCTCTTATGATTCCTTTGGGACAGATTTTTAAAAGGCCCAAAAGGCCTCAGTTTTCACATCTATAGTCAACTGGGGGCACAAAATTACAGCCATTATTAAATGCATGTGTAAACAACAGCAGTTAGATATCTAACATGAAGGTGAAATCAGATTTCTGTTTGTTACAATTTGTGCTAGCAGATAATTGTGCCTGCAGCTCACTGCTGGTACACAAAGAAAGGGGCAGTTTTAAAAGTTTTCACCTTTTCCCATAAGACAGAGAAGAAATCCATGTGGACTCCACAAGAGTTTAAAAGAAAGCAAGTACATACAACTTTTCACTTTAAAATATTAAATGGCAGTGAATGACATGCTTACAGTCTGTAAGTACCTATATGAGAAGATTTCTGATAGGAGAAAGCGAAAAAGAGTCCTGTGGCACCTTATAGATGAACAGATGTATTGGAGCATAAGCTTTCGTGTACATTCATCTGACTAAGTGGGTATTCACCCATGAAAGCTTATGCTTGAATACGTCTGTTCGTCTGTAAGGTGCCACAGGACTCTGTCGCTTTTTACGGATCCAGCTTAACATGGCTACCCCTCTGGTACCTGATAGGAGAAGACTAATCCAGCAAGCAGAAGGTATACCAAAATCCAATGGCTGGAAGCTGAAGCTAAATAAATTCAAATTAGAAATAAGGTGCAGATTTTAAATGGTGAGGGTGATTAACAATTGGAGCAATTTACCTAGGAATGTGGTGGATTCTTTGTCACTTGACGTCCTTAAATCAAGATTAGATGTCTTTCTAAAGGATATACTCTAGCTCAGCTTGAAGTCATGGGCTTGATGCAGGAATCACTGGGTGAAATTCTGTGCCCTGTCTTATGAGAGAAGTCAAACTAGTTGATTATAATGATCCTTCTGGCTGTATCATCTATGCATTTCAACTTGACTGCAAATTAAGCAACCTAAGACACTATAAAGTGAAATACACAAAAGGCCAATTTGCATTGTACCTTAGTAAACTACAGAGCTAGGACATATTGTTCTACACTGTGGCATATCATTAAGGTAGCAATAAATCAGGTAAAATTCTAAGTTAGTTAGGTGTGCACATGGCTGTGTGGAAAGATTGATTAGCTCTCTTTGCCTCCTTGTGACCCTGTTCTCAGTTATTCCTAGTAAATTATTCAGAATCAGTCCCTCCATCTCCTGTAGAGTGGATTCAACAGTGCAGCCATGCACTGCACATGTGGATGCGCATGCAAATCTCAGTACTTGTCTATTCCCATTCCAGATGCTTTGTATGATGTCATCACAGTGGGAGCCCCTGCAGCACATTATCAGGGATTTAAGAATGGTGGTCTTCGGAAACTGTTGAGTAAATTTGAGGCAGAAAGGCGAAAGTAAGTACTTCTATAAATAACGATTATCTGCTAATCAAATAATAAAACAGTCTTATTTGTTAAATGCATAACAGATCGTCTGTTTGGACTAGTTAAGGTATCTTTCATGAAACAGTGCATTTATCTTCCCCTCTCCAATAGATTGCTTTAAATTTGTTTGGGATATTTTATTTATAGCAAGATTTATTTTTTAACTCTGGACTCAACATTAAAGACCTTATAATGTTTTCTCTCTCTATTCCAGGGAGCCTAAGGAATATTTAAGCTTGGAAACATGTTGCTAAGAAAGTGCTTTATGCTAAGTGGAGAGTAATTGTAGCTATATTCCAATGCAGTTTCTTGTAATAGTTACATGTATCATGTCTATAAATAGCACTTTTCATTTTTCAGAGCACTATAGAAATGTTAAATAATCTTCTCAAGTCCCCTGTGAAGTAGGTAAGAAAATATTATTATTCCCATTCTGCAAAATGGGAAGCAGATTTAGAGGGAGAAAAAAAAGCTTTATTATAGCCCCAGTTCTGCAAAAGCACTTATGCACATTCAACATTACACTTAAATATTTTGTTGACTAAGCATGGGATTATGCATGTGCTGTGTGGGCCCTTCAGAAGATCTGAGCAATTGCAGCTCCCCCTGAATTCAACTGTAGTTGTTAGTTCTCTGTGCTTTTGAAATTCAGGCCTTCAATGACTAGGCCAAGCCTATACAGTCAATAAGTGGCACTTGTATTAGAACTCGAGGTACTGACTCCCACTGGCATGCTCATTACTCTAGATCCCCATGATTCTCCATAGAAGAGAAATTACCTCTTCAATCCAATGCTCAGCAAAGTTTATTATTATTAACAGTATCACAAAGAATAAAACAGGAGGTGATACAGATTAACTATTTATTTCAGTGTCACTTAGAAAAGGTTTTGCATTAACCCCTCAATGCACACAGCTTGCATTTTCTCTAGTCATCCATCAATACAGAATGCATTTTAAGCTGTCAGCAGGAACTCCATACCTACCTCTCTGATGCCAAGGGAGTAAAATGAAATGCAATATATTTAGTTTTGAAGGCAAGTGAATGACTGAGCTACTAGTTCATAATGTTCTAAAGCAGCGCCAAGGGGTAGTGCTAGAAAATGGCTAGCTCAAACATATCTGACACTTTAAAAACTATTATTCTTTACTATTTTAAGTTGCATAGATATAAAAATCTTAAGGATAAAATTTCCCTGGACTGTTTACAGACAAGAAAGCTTGAAAATGCAATGTAAATATCATTCAGTATTAGAGATTTTCATGAAGTGGACTTGGTGCTGAGAGTTATTTCATGTTCTGTTGCCAGTGAATGGCTATACATACAGAAGGCTGACCCCCTTCTCTCCCAAGAGTGGGGAAGTAAATGAAATTTGCATTCACAGATACAAAACAAATAATCATACAATGACATTTTATAAAGCAGTTCTTCTAAAAAGCCCAACAAAATGTGTGCCCCAAAAGTGCATCACTTGCAAAACCTGTGTGTGTGTGAAAACTTGTGTGTGCAAACAATACTTTGCATTATTATAGTGCCTTCTATCAGAGGATCTCAAAGGACTTTACATAGATTAATGTATTAACCCTTTCAACATCTGTTTGTATTTTCTTCCGTGTTTTATGGATGGAAAAACTAAAGCACAGAGACATTAAGGCTAGTGTTTTCGAACTTGGAAGCGTAAAGTTACCTAAAGAGACAAAGTTACCTACGTATGTTAATTTCAGTAAGAACAGTTAGTGCTGAGCACCTTTGATAACCAGCCAGTTATTTAGCTGCCTAACTTTAGTCCCCCGTATTTGAAAATTTTAACCTAAGTGACTTGCCCAAAGTCTTACCAAAAGTGTGTGTCAAATTCAGGAATACTGTCCAGTTCTTGACCATCCAAATCCTTTGCTTTCCCTTTTGTGCATTCATATGCCAGTGTGCAGATGTGGATATTACATGTACAGATGAAAGTGCATGCTATTTTTAAAGTCCAATTTTGAAAATATGTTTTGGGAAAAGCTTTCCCTTGTGGTAGTGAAGACAAAAGACAGTGAAGTATATGTGATGTTTTTCTTTCTGGCCACTGTTAAGGAAGATATCTACACCCCAAGTATGATTCTGCTTTCCGAATCATGGCTGGTTTGACAGGAATGTGACTTTCACCTCTACATTCACTTTGGGCTGCCACTCTCCCTCTTACTGCCCCCTTCTATTTTTCCCAGTACACGTGTTGTGCCTGCATCTTATTTCAAAGCTAAGAAGGATGATAGGCGGTTCCTGAGATGTAAGGTATGCCCTTAGCTATCAGAATCACATCTTACAAAAAGTTTAAATTTTAACATTTAATTTACACATTCTTGACCTAGTTAAAATATAGCTTCTTGAAGCTAGTTGAAATATACAAGAAACTATTCCAACATTGAAGTTTCCATTACACGACACTCTTTGCTTCAGGAGTAGTTTGCTATCTCACCTTCAGAGCAGTTTCAGTGTCCCATAGAGAGAGCGGTCAGATATTGACAGTTATGTTGAGTGCTCTCTGTGTCTGATTTATTTAACAAGTACACTGAATTTGTTTACATATGTAAATGATTGAACAATATTTTAAAATGTATGTAAGTTGCATTTGCTAGTGTATTTCATAAATTAAGTTTAATTATTCAAATTACTTCCCATTAGAATTATTTGCATTTGTATTGATCCTTTCATTGAGAAGCATCTCAAAGCACATCCCCTTTTTGGTCTCTCTTCTCTACTCCCATGCTTTCTTCTTCTTTTTCTGTCTGTTCTTTCCAAATACCTATCAAGCCTCACAAACACGTCTCATTTCCCCCACTCTTTCCACTCTCATTGTGCCTTTACCTTAGTACAGTGGTTCCCAAACTGGGGTTTGTGAACCCCTGGGGGTTCGCGAAATGTTACTGGGGGTTCTCGGGGAAAAAATTCCCTAATGGCGGACAGAGCTGTCCCTAGGATTCCCAGGCAGCCCGGAGCCCCTGGACTTCCAAGAGCTAAGCAGATCAAAGCAAGTATATCTATCACAGTGAGGAGAATTAAAATTCGAGACTCCTTATAAGAAACGGAAAGGGAGTGCATATTTTTTGCTGTTTTTAAAGTTAAATAGGCAGCTAGTATTGCTTTTAAAATTATCATGAAGAACAAGTTTAAGCTTTGTTGTAATGTGGGTTGTTTGCCTGGACTGCTCAAGACCTGAATGCTTGTGTAGGAGGAAGTCTTTGAGTTGACTTCTTAAATACCTTCATGCTGTTTCACATCTGATACTCCTTGATGAAACATAGGAGCCTTGTCTTATAACAGACTTATTCAAATTGATACAAGCTACGAAAGTGAGACCTTGGAACAGTGTTGCCGTTTTCATAATGTAATAAAAATACTATAATGATAAATAATAATGAATAATAAATAGTGTGTAATAAGCATGTCATAAAAACACATTTTATATTTCCAAGATCACTGCTTTTACAATTTATACTCAGGTAAAGGAGAAAATCCCTGGAAATACTCATTTTTAGGAGGGGGCTCGCGAGACTTGACATTTTAGTGAAAGAGGTTCACAGGTTGTTAAAGTTTGGGAACCACTGCCTTAGTACAAGCTCCAAAAATAATTGCCTGCAGGGATCTTAGGCAGGAAAGTCTGCTTTTACCCCTTGCAGGCCTGAGGGAAGGGAGCTGCAGCAGTGATTCCTCTTCTCTCCCCTCTCTAGGGCCCTGGTCAGCAACTCTCCCGCTCCTTCCCTCACTGGCACCCCACTATGCAGTTCTGAGCAGGGTGACATGAAGCAGTTATTCACAGCAGAACAAAGTGGCTGAAGGGCAAAATCACAGGGAAAATATTTTGTATTTTCTCCTCGGTCCGTCTGGGATGGAATTGGTGAAGCTCAGAAATGGGTTTTTCTCATTCATTTTTCTCTCCCCATAACTCCTATGTACATTAATATAACACCCTTCATCCAAATGGATCCTAAAACCCTTCAAAAAAGTTGGCTGAGCATACAAATTATAAGATCCTCATCCACCCATCAATTAGATGTACTGTATCCAGCGTTGTGGGGGGAATGTGGCAGCTTTTACACAATGCACAATAGCACTGCACAAATATATAGGGCAGGAAATTAACAATATATCCACCTGAAATTGCAGAGTGAATTTAGGGAGGCAGAAAGTAATTACCCAAATTGGAAGTGCGTGGGATAGCAGGGCTAACAGCCTCATTTTTGTGGCAAAGCCCTATAGGGTCATAGGTGACCGTAAGTGGTCAGCACGTAGGGTTTACATCCTGTTTATTCAGGAGTCAGGGAAAAGTGCCCTGTAAAGAAGATGCATTATCCCTCTTGGAGCTCCCAGGGTGTGTGTACATCCTGCACCATCCATTAGAAAGGGGCAATGTGCTTCCCACTCCATGCTTGGCTGGTGTAGTAGGGGAGTAGGAGTCAGTGGAGCCATGGCCCCACATTCTCCAATCTCTGGCCCCTCTGTGGGATGTCTTGTGCCCCTGAGTTGGGAGATGGGAGGGAGCAGTCACTGTACTCAAGAGAGCACAAGGACTGTAATTGTGTCTGGCCCTTGCAATAGAGCCTCCTCCTGGAACTTCCATGCTTGTATCTGGAGTTGAAAATTGACAGTAAGGTGTATGTCAAAAGACTGAGACCAGCAAGGGGACTGGCAGCCACCTCTTACTTTCATACTCTCTTACTACAAAGGGCCAGATCCCACAGTTCTCTCTCCCTGCTCCATCCTCTAAAGTCTACAGAAGCCCTAAGCCTGCAATGGTGCTGCTCTCCATGGGGCCAGTTCCTGGATGTGTGCATAGATTTGTCTGCAAAAAGAACAGGAATACTTGTGGCACCCTAGAGACTAACAAATTTATTTGAGCATAAGCTTTCGTGGGCTACAGCGTACTTCATCGGATGCATGTAGTGGAAAATACAGTAGGAAGATATATATAGATATAGATATTGTGACAA